GGAGCCCGAGAGTCCTGCCCCCTCCTCCATCAAACTCTCCGGCTCAGTGGCTGAAGTTGTCCATCCATTAGGACATCTCCTCATTTGTCGTGGCTCGTTTCATCGGCAATCAAACCCCATTAGCCACTTAATGGGCCTCTGCCTGAACTTAATGTACATACAGTACAGCAGCACTCAGCAGATGGTCGGAAAAATACTCCGACCACAGTTTGCTTTTCCTCCGAGATGCAAAACCACAGCAGTGTTGTAAAAAATACACCAACCACTCACCAATCACACATTCATTTGTCTTCAACCCTTACCATTCATACCAGTCTGCTGGGAAACCTTTGGTTCTGGCATTCATGTGGATACCACCTGACATGTTCCACCCACTCAAACACCATTGCAGACCAAGTACCCCCCCTCATGGCAACAGTACTCCCCAGTGGCAGTGACCCCCAGCAGAAAAAAGCAGTATGCCACACATGCAGACTGCAGGAGCTGGGGATCAAACCACCGATCCTCTGAGCCACAGCCGATGTATAGATGTATTGTTATAACTAGAAACAGGACTCCAAGATGGCACCTATTCCAATGGATTTGGTAGCCTGTCGCATACGCCAAAAAAACTTTCTAGCTTCTGGGTTTGCTCCCGCAATACAATAAAGTTTCGCCACCTGCGAATTCCTGTTCATAGACTTAACATTGTGAAACCAGCCATTGGGGGGGCACTTTCTGTGTACTCCTGATGCCGGTCCCAAGCCCGGATAAATGGTGAGGGTTGCGTCAGGATGGGCATCTGGCATTAAATTTGTGCCAAAACAATGATGCCGAAAGTCTGCCATCGGGCAAGACCCAGGGTTAACAATAGCCCTTTTACACGGACAGATTTTCTGTGAATGTTGGGCCGTTTTGCCGGCAAGCTGCGAGCGTTTAGACACACAGAGCCGGATTGGTGAGTTGATCCGAGGTGCCCAATTTTCCGCCTCATAGGGTAGACATATTGGCGGAACCCTTTTAGTTTAAAAAGAACGAGGCGCCACAGGAGGGGCTGTTGAAGACTTGTGGGAGGAGCTGTTGATGACGCAGCACTTGCGAGCCACTGGCGGTGGATAAACAGGAAACAGCTGATAGCAGGAATTAGCGAGCAGCTAGTAGCAAGAGGGAAACACAAACCTGACAGACACTGTAAAGATGAGCAACTGGGGAGACAAGGAATTGCTCGCCCTCCTTGTCCTCACAAACGAAGAGGCCATTAACCGTCAGATGACGGGGACGGTGAAGAACGGGCCGACTTATGAGAGAATCGCCTAAGGACTGACCAGCCGCGGCTTCTCTCCCACGTCACTGTTTACGTCACACGCTGAGCTACACGTTTTGTTACTTGCTCACGCCCTCCATTGCCCCGAAAAAGGCGCATTCTGTATAAACAAAAGTAGGTAGGCTGCATTTTGCTGCACTCCCCGATTTTGTTTTTATACTGCCAATGCTGAAAGAATACTGATTGGGCTTTCCTGCAAATTTGCACAACTCCTGTTTAAAAAGGTCTATTGACCGCCTCCAGTGCTGCTGACCAGTGGGGTGCCAGTGGAAATTGAACGACCGTTGGTCGAAGGCCATTGAGATAGGCAGATAATCCAGTGTGGCGACCCCTGAAGAGAGCAGCCAAAAGACAAGAAGAAGACTTAACATTGTGAGGAAAGTTTTACAGATAAAAAACCTCCATGCATCAACAGTTCATAATAGTAAGAGTCATAATTGACCAATTATTGGAGGCAAGGCTGAGCAGCGTTCCTGGGGTCCTGGCTTTTCTCATTGGAGAAGATGTTCTGGCTCTCTAGATGAGCTCATTATGTCTCCTATAAAGAGTTTCAGAGAGCGGGATTCACTGGACCACAGATGATTTTTCATCCTTTAAGATCTAAACTGGACATGTGAAGGCTTTTCTTATGGGTCTTGCCATCTGGAATGGTGGCTCAGACATAGCATGGTGCCCCATGAGGTGATTTAATGTAAATTAAGTCACATTATTTAACACAATTAATAATTATTGATTAATTCCGACTGCCATTTTGATACTTTAATGGGAGGCCTGTTACGAGGTCAGGTCCCAACAACAGCATGAGCTTCATTACACAATGGTCAATACACAACTCGTAGTGACTGACCTGAATAATGATCTTTACATTCACTCAATGACTGATGATCAATAAAAAGTATCAACGTGATAAACACTTTGAAAATTAATGGTTATGAGTCGGAGCATCGAGTGAGCTCCGTGGCCCAAGTGGCATCGAGGTGACGTAATCACCCGCCATAAATCACACGGCACAGGTCAATGGGACCCTCGACTCCGTTCAAGGCCCAGATTTCCATTTTAATTTTCTGCTCAGTGGAGTTGATGTATGTGGGGACGCAGCGAGTAGCCAGGCTCTCCACTCCCGCCTATTCATGATGAGATGACGACGACCTTTCCTCTTTGGATCTGCGAGAACTCGTTTCTCTCACATGCGGAGACAGGTAGACAGTGGAAACAAATGTCAGACAGCATGTCGGGCCAGATTTAGGATTCAGAAAGAGTGGTGTGACTGAACCCAAATGCAGCACTCAGGGACAGTTGGTAATGACCTTTATTTGTTCACAGAATAAACAGGAGCTTGAGCTGACGAAGATATCAGGCAGGTAAGGAGTGTTGAGAAGTCTTGCATGTGGGTGAAGAACAATCTGGCAAAGAGTGTGTGTGTGCTGGAGAGGCCAGGCTGATTGGTCTGACGAGCTGCAGCTGTGGAGGCAGGTGAGTGGAGCCTCTGTAATTGTAATTGACCCTTGGCCCACCCTGTAGTCTGGGAAATCAAGAAGCAATGCATCACAGAAGACTTTAGTATCTGCGCTTTTTGAGTGCTTTTGAGTACACAATGACTTAGACGAGCAACTTGATTCAATATTTTTCATATGTAGACATAATAATAAATCTATAGCTGCTTGTGGCATCTATAGAATGAATGTGTGAGCGGTTCTTGAGAAAGCTGCAACACCACTATGAAGGACTGAGACTACCAAAAAGAAATGCCCAATTATCAAATAAATGTGCAGGTTCATGTGAAAATAAATAAATATGCACAGAAATATAAAAATAAACAAAATTTATTTATTTATTTGACAAATTACTTATTTTCCATATTCATTTATTTCCCTATTTATTTATTTCTGTTTTCATTTATTTCCCTATTTATTTATTTCCCTAGTTATCTATTTATTTATTTCTGTTTTCATTTATTTCCCTATTTATTTATTTCTGTTTTATTTCCCTAGTTATTTGTTTTCATTTATTTCCCTATTTATTTACTTAATTCTGTTTTCATTTATTTCTGTTTTCATTAATTTCCCTATTTATTTATTTATTTCTCTTTTCATTAATTTCCCTATTTATTTATTTATTTGTTTTCATTTATTTCCCTATTTATTTATTTATTTATTTCTGTTTTCATTAATTTCCCTATTTATTTATTTATTTCTGTTTTCATTAATTTCCCTATTTATTTATTTATTTCTGTTTTCATTTATTTCCCTATTTATTTATTTCTGTTTTCATTTATTTCCCTATTTATTTATCTATTTATTTATTTATTTCTGTTGTATTTCCCTAGTTAATTTGTTTTTATTTATTTCCCTATTTATTTACTTAATTCTGTTTTCATTTATTTCTGTTTTCATTTATTTCTCTATTTATTTACTTAATTCTGTTTTCATTAATTTCCCTATTTATTTATTTATGTTTTCATTTATTTCCCTATTTATTTACTTAATTCTGTTTTCATTAATTTCCCTATTTATTTATTTATGTTTTCATTTATTTCCCTATTTATTTATTTCTGTATTTATCATAGTGTATTTCTTCACCTATTCGCCGAGCGATCTACCCATTCCAAACAGGCAGTTTTTGAAGGGATGCTGCATTCGTCATATTTAATACATGACTCATAACCCACCGGCGGCTCCACTGTATGGATCATCTCAACAGAGTTTGCATTTATTTTCACATTGATGAGGAAAAATTGATAAAATGTCTTTGGTGGCTCAAGGATCAGTCTTAATATAAACATGAAGATGAGCATACTGTCATAAAAGTGATGTATCACTCAGACTTAGAGCTGAGGTAGTTGGTTATATATATATATATATATACATATATATATATTTACACAGCACTAACTGAGACAGATAATCTATGAGAGAAATCATAATCCTAAAATTAATGATACTTGTCTTGGTCCTCAAACACTTTGACCCTGACACACTAGGGGTCCACTCTGTGTTCAACAAAGGCTTGAAACCAAACTGCATTGCCATCCCTTGAGCCTTTTTCATTACACCAAGAGCGCCATCTAGTGGGTTCAGCAAATACAACTTTATTTGGACACCACTAAAGAAAACACATGAAAATTAAGAGAGATCTTCACTTACCTCTTCAACAATTTAAGATGACTGCCATCTAGAGATGCCTGACTCTCACTAGACTTTGTTCAAAACTAAAGGCCTGATCACATCATCATCACACTTAATCTGTCATTAGCTTTTTAATTTGGAGATGCTATATAGGTGAAAATTTAAAAATAAAATGTGGATGTTAAGAGGTTAAAACGACATTATGCAACGTTTTATTACCTTAAATAACAGCTTTAACATTATTTAGATGATACAGTGGCTTGTAATAGGAAGAATGGCGCCTCACATGTTCTTCCACGATGGTAATTTTGGTACGGTAACAACCTAGCTCAGCTTTATCTTTTTTATTACAACCCTCTAGTCTCCCTACTGGGTTTGTAACTGTAGACTGGAGTGTATTCAAATGAACACAGCCCAAAGACAAGATATTTAATGTTCAAACCGATTTCTAAAATATACACTTATTCTGAATTTGATGCTGCAACACGTTCCAAAAGAGTTGGGCCAGGGGCAACAAAACACTGGGGAAGTTGTTGAATGCTCAAAAAACACCCGTCTTCACCGACACCACATTCATAAAATAAACAAATTTTTATTAAAAACAAAAATCACACTCCACAATCGACAAACGACGCTGAGCAAAACGCAGCACTGAGATCAGTTCGTGCAGCAGTGTGTCATTGTGCTGCTTGTTTCAAAGACTTCAGAGCTGGAAGGATGTCGTCCAGGTGACTCACGCCTGAAACACGCACACACATAGAAAATAAAGAAAATGCTTCATGAGGCTTCATTTGGCCATCACTAGTTGAAACCAAACTGCATTGCCATCCCTTGAGCCTTTTTCATTACACCAAGAGCGCCATCTAGTGGGTTCAGCAAATACAACTGGTGGTTCATGAAGCTTCACTTGGCTATCACTAATGTTTACTAGTGATGGCCAAATGAAGCTTCATGAACCATTTTCTTTATTTTTTGGGTCCACTCTGGCACTCTTTGTTCAACAAAGTGTTGAAACCAAACTGCATTGCCATCCCTTGAGCCTTTTTCATTACACCAAGAGCACCATCTAGTGAGTTCAGCAAATACAACTGCTGGTTCATGAAGCTTCATTTGGCCGTCACTAATGTTTACCACTTGTTTTCTCTTTAAATGTCACTGAAATAAAATAAAATAAGCCAGAAATCTGTCTTTTAATAACGCAAGATGGGGTTACTTGTGTTGTTACGTGTCATATTTACCTAGAGTCTGTAAAATGTCCATAATGAGGGCATGGAAAGCGGGGAAGAACTCCTCATGCTGCTTCACTTTGATGATGACGCTGGAAAATGAAAGCAACGAATGTTAAAAAAACAACAACAACCAGAAACTAGCCTTGAGCTGCCGGTGATATTCTAAACACTTTGTGTGTTCAGTGTATGTGAACCTGTCAATGTCAGCGTCTCCCAGCAGATTATGGAACCCAGCAGTGTGCTCGGCGGAGGAAACCAGCCTGGCCACATGGTTCACCACCTCAGCAGGAGGAGCCCTGCTGTCTGACACACAAGCACAAACATCTCTGCTCAACTACTGTCCAATTTCTCAAAAGCTGACTGACGGACATACGCAGCTTTGTCTCCGGCTGAAGGTTACCTAGCTCCAGAACGTCTTGGAGGTTCCTCATGGCGTTGGTCATCTCTCCCAGCCGGGTGTAGACCTCGTTCATACGGGGGTACACTCCTCTGAGGGAGGTCACGTCGAACAGCTTCTGGAAGTGAGACACCATGGAGCCCAGAGTGTACCGAGTGGGACTCCGGAGCACCTAGCAGGACACCACAGAGTGTATCTTGCACCATTAATACATACTACCTTGAGCGAGTAGTACGAAAGTAGTGCAGCGATCTACCTTTTCGTCATCAGCTGAGGTGCTTTCCAGCATGGTGTCCACCAGCAACATCATGTCCTCCACCTTCACTGCTTCTGCAGCATTATGGCCCCCATCAGACGGCTGCCAGGGCATCAGTCTGGCCCTCAGCTTATTTAAAGCCCTTTGTAGATCCTATAGAAACACATCCTCTTATTCGACTACACACGCTGTATTCGGTATTTCCTGGTGAATGATCAGTGTCTGGTAGGTGATGACACTGAAGCCGGTTTACCTTCAGTAGGTGGAGCTGCTGGGCCCAGACCTCCAGCGCGGGGAGGAGAGTCTCAAACTCTGTCAGCTCCGAACCGACAGCGGAAGGTCTCGGCTTGTGCAGTCGCAATGGAGCGTTGGGATTGGTCACAACACCGCTGATCTCGTGCAACAGCTGGAATTCAGGAGGTAGTTATTAGGTTTAGTGTTTAGTTACAAGAAGTGAACCCCAGAGAGAAGAAGGGACACACTCAGACCTCATGGACCAAACGCACCTGGTGATAGTGGCCACAGAGACTGGCTTCCCTGGCGTGATCACTGGGCTCAGTTGTGCTGTCTTTGGACGATCTGCAAAGATGGTTGGTGCTCTGCATGAGTTATGTGCATGCAAACATAAGATGGGCACCAGCTGAGCTAGCATCCTGCTAGCTATTGTGCAGGCTTTGTAAATAAACTGGACGAACAGATGAACACACACCTCGTCTCAAGCTCCTGCTTCAGGCGGTCGACGTCTCTCTTTAGCTCTTCGATTTGAGTGTTGCTCTTCTTTTGTTGTGTCTGGTACGCCTTGGAGAAACATAAGAGTGTGACCCACTGCTTTAAGGGGGAAGCAATCTGAAAATGAGTAGAAGTTTGTCAGGGTACCTTAAGAATGGTTTTGAAAGATGGAGTAATGCTGCTGGATGCCTTCTTGGTTCGTGTCCGATGAGCCACTTCTGGTTCTCCTTTCACAGATCTGTGGTGACGTAAACAGCTCAGCACAAGCCTTGGAAACAAAGTATTAAGTCAGCATGTTCTGGGAGGCATGTGTTACCTGAGCTCATCCAGCAGCTGAGTCATTTTAGTCTCATAGAAGTCAATCACATCCAGCAGCCTGCAGAGAGAAGAACGAGGAGAGCTGTAGCAATCTACTCATCACAGAGGACATGATCTGTCTCAATGGTTTCAACTGCAATGCTCCCTTTAAACGGTCATTTTTTCCCTCTGCTGTGGACCAAAGGAACCCAACTACAGGTGTGATAGCACCCTTAAATGTTCTTACTGCTGGTCTGCCGGAGAGCTCTGCTGGCTGACTCTGTCGCAGATGTGCTGGAACGTGTCACTCTGTCGAGCCAATCGCAGCTCTTCTTCTTTGAGGGTAAAATAAAGTTTCCTTTGGAGCTGGGCTGCTTCGTCCTTTTGTTTCGACAGCTTCTGCTCGAGGACCTGACACCGTTTCTGGGCAGATGAAACAAAAGATTTACTACACAGATAATACTTGACCATTCACAAACAAAGATAATCAATCATTTACGTACACTTGTGTGCAGTCTGAGCACTAGTGATGGCCACATGAAGCTTCATGAACCACCAGTTGTATTTGCTGAACCCACTAGATGGCGCTCTTGGTGTAATGAAAAAGGCTCAAGGGATGGCAATGCAGTTTGGTTTCAACCCTTTGTTGAACAAAGAGTGCCAGAGTGGAGCCAAAAAATAAAGAAAATGGTTCATGAAGCTTCATTTGGCCATTGCTAGTTGAAACCAAACTCCATTGCCATCCCTTAAGCCTTTTTCATTACACCAAGAGCGCCATCTAGTGGGTTCAGCAAATACAACTGGTGCTTCATGAAGCTTCATTTGGCCATTGCTAGTTGAAACCAAACTCCATTGCCATCCCTTAAGCCTTTTTCATTACACCAAGAGCGCCATCTAGTGGGTTCAGCAAATACAACTGGCGGTTCATGAAGCTTCATTTGGCCATCACTAGTGCTCAGACCGCACACAAGTGTACGTAAATTATTTCAACTAGCAATGGCCAAATGAAGCTTCATGAACCATTTTCTTTATTTTTGGGTCCACTCTGGCACTCTTTGTTCAACAAAGGGTTGAAACCAAACTGCATTGCCATCCCTTGAGCCTTTTTCATTACCCCAAGAGCGCCATCTAGTGGGCTCAGCAAATACAACTGGTGCTTCATGAAGCTTCATTTGGACATCACTACTGAGTACCATTATGTCTGCGGACATACCTGTGCTTCTTGTTTTTCCTGCTGCAGTCGCTGTGTGTGGCTGTGCTGCTGGACAGCCTTGCCGAGGCAGCGGTCCTCCAGGTCCTGGACTCGGGTCTTCACCGCATCCAGCAGCCCCTCCAGCTCTGTGGCCCTCTGAGACTGCTGAGCCGCTCGACTCATGTGCTCATGAACCTCTTCTCTAAAGACACGTACACAGAAAAGGGTCATTCTAACAATGTAACAGGTAAAAGTAGCACGCACATCCCAAAAGAACTTAATGCTGGGTGCTGGACCAAAAGGTAAGTATGAAATAAAAGATAAAATCCGCACACCAGAAGCTGCTCCTTGAAAATTTATTCAGATGTTACGTTTCGGGCTCCTGCCCTTCATCAGACATAAAATAAATGTGGATACACCTCCATATATACAACCCCTTGGGGTCACCTGACACAATCAGGTGATAAACCACAGGTGTGAGAAAAATAATATTATCAAACAGAAAGGAAAAATATTTCTGATTGATGGGAAACAATCTTTAAATGTAATACAATGCCAAAATACCACTTTACAAAGATTCTCAGGCCTCATACCTGCGCAAATTCTTAAAGATTTTCTATAAGAATCTTTGTAAAATGGTATAACAATGTGCAATGTGTATTTTCTGTTTTTAAGACGATTGCTGGGCCCTGCAACCTAACTCCAAATCAGCATGGATGGATGGATAACAGTCAGCTGGTTTCCCTTTGATCACTCAGGCTGAGACTTCATACCTGCACTGAGCTACTGAACTCAGGAGGGGCATCTCTGCGACACTCATCTGATGCTGATGAGATTAGATGACAGGAGGACAGGTGGTCGACGCACAGCGCACATACATTATTTAGGAGATGCTAACACCCACAGTGCTACACACTGCAGGCATGTATACACTGCATAAGATCCTCAGCTGTCTGAATTCTTTCACAGACACCACTCATGCTGCTGTGATGCTGCTGCAGTCCTATTCACTGGCTCAATGTTTGACTTACTTGAGCAGATTGTTGGACTTGATGAGCTCCTGGATGAGGGCCTGTCTTCTCTCTGAATCCGTGAGCATCGTCCTCAGGGACATCCTGATCTCACTGGCTGACTTCTTGTCCAGCAGAATCAAATCTAAGGACACATGCAGAGTCAGGAGACAGAACTGAACTTAAACTTCCTTAGAATATTTTGCTCATACATTCAAACTTTTGACTCTTACCTGAGAGGTTCTTGTTCTCTACGGGATCTGCAAAACACACTGGCTTAAAACCATGATGCTGCAGAAGTTTGTTCACATCGTCCCACTCTATCTGCTCCTGCTGCAACATATACGATAAATGAACAAATGCACATCACACAGCAAAGCAAACCTGCTGAAGAATCCTGAGCCCTACCTGGAACTGCCTGTCAGTCCACAGATACACATAAGTCTTATTTCTTGATTGCAAAAAATTAGCTTTCCTGCTGTCCATGTCTCCCACTCAGCAGCACTAACTTTACTCCTCAGGAGCATCACTCAGATCATCACCTGACTCGAGCAGCTCATGTTTCTACATCAGAGAGACTGAGAGACAGCCTTCCCCTTCACACACACACACGCCTCTACAGCCTCTGATCAGCACAAGATTTGTCATGGTAACTCACCTGCTCCATCGTTTCATCCCACTGCAGGAAACAGAACAACATGCACGGTGTTAGAGTTCAAAAGCTGCAGAAGACACTGATAAAAAAAAAAAGGTCGACGCGGAACTCCGTTTAAAAAACAGGGAATTTAATTCTGCTGGGCTACAGCTGCTAACACACAACTCCAAATGTACAAAACACTACCATTTAGGAACCTTGAGGTTATTATGGTGAATTCGGCATACTAGTAGCCAACAAACAAACACGTTTAATGAATTAAAATGACATTAAACTGCCGCATTTTGCAGCGGGAGTTTGTCATCAAGCTCACTATGAAGGAGCTACAGTCCATACGCAGTTTCTTCCCATAGTGTCTATCAATATAAGATAATATAAGGTTAATTCAATGTATCTGCAACTATAGTTGTGACGTTATTTTGTAGTTTGGTTAGCTCGGTTAGCTTCTGTAGCAGCTATATTAACGCTGAGGTTAGCTGTGTGTTTGTTACTGCGAGCGGACGTTGAATGGGCAGTTAATAGAAGTTACCAGTCGCTGGTGTTGTCTTTATCAGCTGCGTTTTCCCGCACGGTACAACAGCAGATAATTTAATTCACATTAGCGTTAGCATTTACTCCACGGACACGCCTTTTCCGGCATTCAAACAGTGACGTAACTGTACTCAACCAATGGGATTAGGGTGTTTAGGGCACTTGTGTACTGTAGAAATAATCGAGGCTTGTCTGTTCCGTTGTTTTTTTATGTACCACAATGTGTTGTGTCGATCTGTATATGTTAATTTGCTAATAAGAAATAAAACAAAAAAATAAAAAACGACTGTAGAAATAATTATATGCGCAACTTCCGGTGAGAGCGGAAGTAGCATTAAGCTAGCTACTCTCGGCAGCTAAGTGGCAACGCTGGCTCTTTTCGCCTTCACTTTAGCAAATACTGATTTATATTTAACAAATAGTCAACTAATGTCACCTTTATATTTTCTAAAATGTCTCCACAGAGCTCTGGTACATGTTGCAAACCACAGACTGTAAAAATAAGACATTAATCTAGTTTATCTTTTGTGTAGTTTTTACCTAACTCAGGTTAACGCTGGGCTACCGGACTTGCTCATTCCTGTTGTGCGGCACAGCAACCGGTTCATGTTTGCCCAAAACATACTGTAAGTTTCACACATGACTCATTTAAACTAAATTAATACCTAGACTTTAAGTTTTCCTTAGTTACGCCATAACAAGTAGCAACCTGCACTGTTGGCTCACACCATTGGCGTCAGTGCACAGGATCACTTTAGGGGAAATAAAGCAAACAAAAAACGTTGGACTACATTAAAACTAACGTAATTTCATTTTTTTAGATATTCTCGTTTTAAGGTGCGTGTAATAATATATAAAAACGTAATTCTTAAGACGTTTATAGCAACAGATATAACGGGTTTAACCATTTTAACCCCCCCGCCCCTACATGGTAAATGGTACGGTCCACAAGTGTCCGTTTCCTGCACTCGGTTGCTAGGTGACGGAGAACGCCTGGAGGCTAGAAACAGAAGGCAGGGAGAAGCTCTACGTCACTCTTGCTCTCTCTCTCAACATCATTAACGGTTCTGTGTCGTGTATTTCTGTACCGAGGAGTAATCCGGTGCAGGGCGGCACGACAGGAGACCATGTTTACATGTAGTTTGCTTCTGTAACGGTTCCCCAGCGTGTTAAAAGTGTCAGCAACGTCATCTATAGCTGTGTACAATGGCCACCGAGTGCACCCAGGAGGCTATTCTGGACTTTCTGAAGGAGAGAGGGGGCAGAGTGAGAAACACGGATTTAACTGAGCATTTTAAGGCCGTGTTCCCGGAGGAGCCGGAGCAGAAAGCGGCTGTGCGGAAGAATTTTAAAAACTACGTTGACAACGTTGCTTATGTCAAAACTGAGAGTGGAGTGAAACATGTCTGCCTGAAGAAGAAGTTCCGCGGTGCAGAGAAGGAGACAAGTGGGACAGAAAGTGAGCAGGCACGAGTGTTAGATGCAGATGGGCCCGGTAAGCGGTGTCCAGGTGACAGCCGTCAAGTTGGTGGTAGTGACGTAGCGGAGGCTCAGGCTGCAGGGGATGAGGCGCAACATCCACCTGGCTCAGGTTACGGAAATGACAGCCAGGTGAGAGTTCCGCATGCTTTCTCCCCTGCGCCCATTGTGCAGCGCGCACCAGACGACGAGAGCAAGTGTCATGAGTTTGTTTGTGTAGTCGAGGAAGTGGACAGCAGCTCAGGTGAGATGGGGAACAGACAAAGCTTCCGGAGAGAGAAGAGGGAGTCCAAGAAGGAGCGTGCTGGGAAACAGCTGGACATACCAGAAATTGCAGTGATTGAAGCTTCGCCTCTCCCAGAAGAGGGATCTGTGTTCACCATGCCTGAGCCTGTACAAACTGGTAGGACAGGACAGGTAGCTGCTGCTGGACTCACTCCCAGAGACAGGCAGGTTGAGACTGAGTCCTATCAAAGAGAGCAGGTTGATGGGGTGATCAGGCGCAGGGACTCAAAACGCTCCCAGCAGCAGGAGGCAGACGACGGGGAGGATGAAGGGCTGTTGGATGTGTGCAGTTTGTCAGGGAGTGAAGGCAACTGCAGCCCGAAAGGCAGCCGCAAACACTTCATCGAGGTCATGATGAGCAGCTCCCCCCAGGTGAGGCGCAGCATGGTGCTACGCAACTCAGTGTACCTGCCCTCCAAAAGTGACAGCGACTCCATTTCGTTGGTGTCCTGCAGCCTGGACGACGACAGGACCTCAGTCACTCTGGACCCGCTGGAGCACGAGTGGATGATGTGTGCGTCGGACGGGGAGTGGGACAGCTTGTACCCCCTCCTCGCCACAGAGCCCAGCCTCATCCTGAGGAAGGATTTCGTCACTGGGTTCACCTGCCTGCACTGGGCGGCCAAGCAAGACAAGCCTGAGCTGATTGCTCTGATTATTGACTTCGCCAAGCAGCACAACGTCCCCATCAGTGTTGATGTGCGATCCAACACTGGCTACACGCCGCTGCACATCGCCGCCATGCACAACCACATGGAGGTGGTGAAGCTCCTGGTGGGCGCCTACAACGCAGATGTGGAGATCAGAGACTACAGCGGGAGGAAGGCCTGCCAGTACCTCACTGACAACGTGAGCGTGGACATACGGGACATCATAGGAGCGTACGAGCGCTCTGATTCAGAGAACGCACACTGCAGTAATGGAGGGCGCTGGAGGTTCTCCAAGGGTTTCCAGGTGAACCTGAAGCCCCTCAGGCTCCTCAGCCCCAACGACTGTGACTCTGTAGATGGGGAGGGGAAACCAAGACAGAAAGTCGTCAGGAGGAAGTCGTCGCTCAGCAGAATGAAGCCCAAACTCCAGAAGGTCCGCCTGAGGACGTCACAGATTGTCCATAGCGTGTCGTTCCGAGACACAGAGGAGCTGGAGCTGTCTTTGAAAGGTTCCTTCAAGCGCAGACCCAAGACTCATTTCTTTGGGTGACATCTGTTTGGAGCTGGGGATCAATATTTGTGGACTTTCCTTTTGCATTTTTAGTCGGCACGGGTGACAGCTGGTACTTTGTGTTGATATTCTGTACCTCAAAAGTGGATAATTTTTATGTCAAATAATCATCAAACCTTGATAGGGTGGAGGATCTTTGAAAATCCATTTCGTCAAATTGTCCATCAAGTCTAATTTACTTTATCAGATGTTCTGTTTTTTATATGAAATTATAACAAGTTTTAAAACACAAGTTAGACCAGTGGTTCCCAACTGGGGGGTCACGGTCCAATCTGAGGTAGACGACGGGATGTTGAAAGTGTCTGACTGCGTCTTGTCATCCACCCGCAGCCGACACTAAACCCTCTTGACCTTGAGTGTGTAATCTCCAGGCAGATTACTGCGTCACATGGCTGTGCTGTGAGGCCGGGCCGGTTGTATTAAGAAAGTTTTGGTCTTGGGTAATTTAACTCGTTATTAATTACAAGACCAGAGTTTTAATCCGTCCAGAGGAAATCTGATGTTTGTTACGAACTTCAGTTTAATGCAGAAGGATGTAGGCCGACAGTATTTTACACGTAATTGTGTATCGCATGAGATGGAGCGTGAAACCAGACTGGAAAACAACATTATTGAAGCAGCTTTAGAGCATAGAAACACTTTGGAAAAACACAGTGTTACATGAGTAATTCTGTGACACAGCAGGGTCATTCATGTCACAACACAGGCTCCGATTTGCACAATGTTTTCCGTTACATAACATAAACAATATTTCCTTTGGTTATGGGGCCATTTTAATGATGTTCATGTCTGATGTTTTACGCTGATTGAATAAATAACTGCAGTTTAGTAAAGGACTGTGTGTCTGATTTGATTCTTCATAGGTACAAATGTGATCTTCCAGTGGTCCTTGAAGGAGTCCTGTGAGGCTCTGCTATTGTGCCACTAGATGGCACCCTCTCTCTCCTCTCTCTGTCAGTATGACTCACCAGAGGTGGATCACACAGACTGGGTTCTCCACAGGGCGGGGAGGGTAATCTGTTGCCACTGGGTATAATGATAGTTTATACTGACTGAATCCCTGTCGTTGTGTCCACGTGTTCACCCATAGGGGAGTAAATTCCCAGGTAACCCATCTTCACATGATCTAAAACACCATGTGTGGCTGCAGGGAAAATTGAGAAAGATTCTTAAGATCTATACAATCAGCACAGTTTCAAGATTAGAGTCACCCATTCAGTATCTGACCAAATGTCTTCCCTTGTGTTCCTGTGTTGTCATCTTGAGTAATGGATGTCACAGTGATGCTGACCTTTGACCTTTTGGGTATAAAATGTCACGACTTCGTCAATATATCCTGCTAGACATCTGTGTGAAGTTTTGTCATAGTCAGTATTTGAATTCTTGAGTTATGGCCAAAAACATATTTTGCAAGGTCACAGTGACCTTGACCTTTGACCACAAACTTCCAATCAGTTTGTGTCAAATTTAAAGAAATTCCCTCAAGGTGTTCTTGCAGTCGTGGTCACAAAAATGAGACAGGCAAGGTCACAGCGACCTTGACCTTTGACCGCCAAAATCTAATCAGTTCATTGAGTGTAAGTGAATGTTTGTGCCAAATTTTAAGAAATTCCCTCAAGGTATTCTTGAGATATCTCGTTCACAAGAATGAGAAGGATAAACGGTCAGACAGACTTGACCTTTGACCTATGACCACCAAAATACAATCAATTTGTCGCTGAGCTGAAATGAATGTTTGTGCCAGATTTGAAGAAATTGCGTTCATGAGAACGATGGATACAAGGTCACAGCAGCATTGACCTTTGACTCATGACCCCTGACCACCAAAATCTTATAAGTTCATCCTTGAGTCCAGGTTAACGTTGGTGCCAAATTTAAAAAAAATATTCACTCAAAGTGGTCTTGAGATATTATGCTCATGAGATCGACGCAGACAAGATCACAGTGATGTTGACCTTTGATCTGTATTTAAAAAACTATAGAGTCTGTTAAAAAAACAAGATTTTTGTTAGTGTTGCCCCAGGAAAATAGAAAAAAAATAAGTTAAAAATAATTCATTGCTTTCCTCGTAGTGTGAATGTATGTAAGCCAAAAAAATATTAAAAAAAAAAAAAAAAAAATACAAAGTTCAATAAAAAATATAAATAAATTTGCTGAAACAGATACCAAGTTAAAAAAAAAATACATGGCACGATAAAACATCAGGTGGCGTCAAGTCTTAAATGTAATTTGTTTATTAGCAGTTAACACATTGTTCATTTAAAATTCTGATGTCATAAAAGTAAACACATGACTGTAAAATAAAACACGAAAAAAAGGCTTCAGTCTCAGTGATCATGGCAACGATTGGTGTGCAATATAATCAATACATTGGATGATTGGAAAATAGTTTCCAGTGCTGACATATATAAAGTAGGCTACATTTCAAAGGTAGAGTTCAGACGAGAGGCTGTAAGAGACACAATACAAGTTCCTAAAAAGTGGTTCTTAACAAACATTAGTTCAACAGGAGAATCAGTGCATTTGTTGGGAACTATTTTCAGTGGTGGATTAATCCACATTTGGTGCTTTAGCAAGTGTTTCTGGCAGCAGCATGGAATAAAAACAGAAAAGAAGAAGTAATCATGTCCCCACAGGCTTTAACTTTGCTTTTGGCAAACATTCAGGATTGTCAAAGCTAAAGCAATTAGCAAGTAGAGGTTTTTGATTGCTATATACGCTAAATAACACTGCACTGTAAACACTGATTCACACTATGAGTGTAAGATTACATACACATACATTACATTATTTCAGACAGTGCCAGAATATATAAAAAATCAACAATCATTCAGTTAAGGCATTTCGGTTGCTCATGTGCTCAGACTTCTTAATATAACTGAGCTGCTCTGGTTTCGCATTTATAGACATAACAGTTGTCGTCCTTACTTGACTTGTTTCTTGCTACGTACAGTTTAAAACATAAATGCCACCATTTAATGCAGCGTACCAGAGTGTAGCTTCATGATAGTTTGCAGCAGTTTACCAACCTGTGTCAACGGGTGCGGCTGTCTATAGGTTCATTCTCACTGCCGCGATGCGGAAATGCGGGATGGATTTGCGGAATATTCGCGCAGCACTTTTCCGCGTTTAAACCATACACACAGGCACGGTACGGATGCGGTGCGGAATTTCGCATTGTTGTGTTCCAATTCCGCGCAGCGTGAATGGGTGTGGGTGAACATGGACGAGAGTAGCAGCAGCAAGCTAACGTTTAACGAGCGTCAACATCAACTTTCTTTAGCACGTACCACTCTCACCGCAGCCACCAAGCTGGACAATGGACTGCCAGATGTTGTCCTTTAATTCATTGTTCATACAATCATCCTGTCTGTTATCAAAAAGGACGGGGTGCTGTGAAACGAAGTTTATCAACCTTTTTCCCATACTGACTGGATTTTGGACTCTCCCAGGTCTGCGCGACTATAAACAAACAATTTCATTGGCCCATTTGAATTATTGTGTTTTGTGAGGTCACAGTGACCTTGACCTTTTATCTTCGACCACCAAATTCTACGTAGTTCATTATTGAGTCCAAGTGGACGTTTGTGCCATATTTGAAGAAACTTCCAAAAAGCCGTCTTGTAATATCATGTTCACGAGAATGAGACAGATGCAAGGTCACACTGACCTTGACCTTTGACCACCACATTATAATCAATTCATTGTTGAGTCCAAGTGAGCGTTCATGCCAAATTTGGAAAAAAATCTCTTGGTGTTCTTGAGATGTTTCGTTTACAAGAATGACAGACGAGGTCACAGTGACCTTGACCTTTGTCCACCAAAATCAAATCCCTGTATCGTTGAATCAAAGTGAACATTTGTGCCAAATGATATCGCCTTCAGAAGAGGTGGATGGATGGATGGACAGACAGTGGATTGAATAGACAGCCACAGCAATCGCAGGTATGGAGGCATAAAAATACTGCAGAGAAAGAACAGTGAAAAGTAAGACCAGAGATTTGTTTGCGTGGACTGACAACGAGGTGGAACTGCTAACAAAGCTGACACATGAGTATAAAGCAGTCAAGGTCCGCAAAACATAGACTAGCCTGCGCATCCAAAGGTCTTCGTTTAAGGGGTTCAGACACACCAGAGACGTGTGGACGCTAGGCGTAAACATAGCAAAAGTTGTGCTCTTTATAATGTATTGATGTGGATGTAGCTTATAAGTCTAGATATTTCAGTGTCAGAATTCTACAAAATAAGGCAGAGATTCAATTTGTGCGCTCCACATAGCGTCTCTAGCATGGCTCTGGAGACGCTGCACAAGGGTCACAGCACTGTCAGTTCTCCTGAAGGCCCACCAGCTCACAGCTCTTCTTCCATAGCTCGGCCTGCAGCTCAGAGTCGTAGGAAACGTCGGACGACTGCGTCTTCTGGCCGTTGTACAAGTAACAGCCCCCAGCCCCTTCCAGCTCGGAGGCGACTGCAGCGTAGACGGATATGGATGCTCCTTCTGCAGGAGTCTGAGGAGGACAAAGCATGAAGAGACGACTCAGTTCAGAGAAGATCTCCCTGAAAGCACCCACCACTAAGATAGACATACCCTGAACAGTATCTTGGCCACTGGTTTCTTCAGAGCCTGTGCGAGGCTCCACAGGTTGTTGTACAGCGCCGTGTCCACCATGCCAGGGTCCACCGCATAGGTGGTCACGGGGAAGCCGCCGGCTGTCATCTGCTCCTGCAGGTAGTAGGTGAGGAGGACCAGGGCCAGTTTGCTCTGAGCGTAGGCACCATGGGAACTGTAACAGATCCTGGAGACAGGGAGAGGGATGCTGTCACTGACATGGGAGTCTCATAAGAATGAAATGCTAGCAGCCTTGGTTGGAGACGTACCTCCTGTTTAGGTCGTGCATGTGCATAACTCCTGCGTAGTGTGTAGCAGAGGACATGTTGACAATCCTGGAGCAGCAGCCCTGGCGTCCTGACCTCTTAAGCGTGTCCAGCAGCAGGTTGGTCAGCAGGAAGTGGCCGAGGTAGTTAAGCGCAAAGTGGAACTCAAAGCCGTCCTCCGTCTTTCTCTCGGGGACCATCATGGTTCCAGCTACACAAGGGAATGGCAGAAGATTTTTATAGGCTGCACTACATTAGTATGTATGATCCTTCGTGCACTGACCATGAGGGTCCACGCATCCTACCATTGTTGACCAGAACGTGGAGGGGGAGACCTCTGTTTTTGAATGTCTGAGCAAAGTGGCGCACGGATTTCAGTGAGGTCAGGTCCATGAAGACGAACTCAACTGTCAACAGAAAACAGGAAAGCATGTTAGGACAGATTCCAGTCCCGCTGTAAACACATCAACATGTCACCATAAAAACTGGGGATTTCACTAGACTAATTTATACAATGTAAAATGCCATAGGCTTGTGCTAATAACGTTAGCATGTTGTATTTGTCTGGGAAACGTGTTTAGTATTAGACAGCTGTTTTGTCAGTGAATCTTGTGAGTTGTAATGGAGCCAAATTATGTGCCGTTACCTTTGTTAAATGTTGCTGTTGTCCCTGTTTTATATGAGTAGAGGAAAAGTCCGCTAGCTGCTAGGCTAATTTATACAATGTAAAATGCCTTAGACTTGTGCTAATAGCATTAGCATGTTATATTTGCGGGGAAAATGTGTCCAGATAAAGAATAAGGAGACACACTGGTGCTTGCAGATAGAAACCTCCTTGCAAGATGCACTTTCTGTGTGCACACATTTTTCTATTTATTTATGTTTTTGCACCAGCACTTTGCACATGCAAAAAAAAGCCCTTTGTCCCACTTGAGAATATTTACAAATGGCCGTATTGTCTACTGACCTTTCCCCTCGACACCTTCTTCATGAATCTTCCTGAGGGCCTCTGCGCCCTCTTCTCTCTCGTTCCCAGCTGGAGATGATGGAGATCAGAGAGGCTTGGTGGGCTGATGTCCAGCAGATATTCACTCAATCCTACCGCCTACACTGACTCAACAGACTGGTGAAAACTACTGGCTACGTCTCTGTTTATACTGATTCAAATGTCCTGAAAAATAACAAGCAATTGTGTGTACGTAATAAATCTTGCGCTCAAACTGAAAAGCCATGCTGTTGAACAAAGACAGGAATACAACTATGCAAGCTCATCAAGTTCTGTGAGTTCCTTTAGCTAGATACCCTGCTTTCCCTCCCTAATACAGGTTAATATCTAACCACAGTCCAGCTTTAATTTGTAATTTTGTCCTCTGATTCATCAAGCAAATCTTAGGATATGAGCCACAAGTTTAAAAGTAGGCAATTTCAAGCTCAAGCAATAGCTCAAATTAGCCTCAATCAAAAGTCAGAGATTCGAATCGTCAGTCGGAGACCCCTCACACGACTGAGATTGCTTGAAGTTGAGCAGTCGAGCCCTAGATTTTACACAGTTCTGGCACACAACTGTTGATGAGGAGAAAACTGCAACTCAAAGCTGGACTGCAGAGACGTGCTCACCTGTACGAAGGAGTGAAAGCAAAGAAAGGCATGTGTGATTAGACAGTAGCCTACCTATGATAACATGCATGCCAAGGCTTGCCAGGTGTCTCGCTGTCTCATAACCCATTCCTCTGGTACCCCCCGTCACAATGGCAACCCTTCCATTTTGCTTGGGTAAGACTGTGTGGGAGGAGAGAAGGGACCACATGAGAACATAACGTGATTCTTCATTCCAGGGTCTGTGGAATCAACATCAAAATGACTGGAATTGTTTTTCAGTGTAATCAACGGTAAAGGTTAAAAGTCTTTGGACTATATAAGGCTGGAATGTCTTGTACAACAAAAATGAATGATAGCGTTCGTATCAGTGCATCAGTTCGGACATCAACCAGTCAGGCAAATACTGAAAACAAAATCTTTATTCTCAAACTTCTTTGACATCATAATGTGTAAATGTTCTGCACAGCAAGACATCTATTGTTAATGCTGTCATACCTACATAACAGTATGTATTTACATACAGCCTGGATTTTTAAGAATTCAAAAAACAACAAAAGACGGTCTTCTAATGGAAGTTACACCCAATTTATTGAGTTATAGTCCTGTTTTTGAGTGTGTATAGCCTATACGTTATATAGGAGATCTATTAATACATTTTTTAGTCACAGAAAGACTATGTCTGAAGGGTACTTTTGGTTCCAAAGGTACCATACCGAAAGTGTTTGGTGGAGACAGGGCTAAACTGAACTATGAATTGTGTGAACGGTTACCCCCCTAGAAAAACTCAACGCAGAAAAAGGTCTAACCATGCTTAGAAAGTTTACCAATTAACACGAAATATTTTGAGTCATACATGAACAGAAATGTTTGAGTTAAGTGCTAATGTCATCATGTTCTCGCTGATGATGCTATAATGCTAATGTTAGCATGTCATTATCATTAATGCCATTCCTTTCGCAGGTATTTAGTCATAAACCAAAGTGTTCGTCATATCAATCTAAGACTTGCTAGTGTTGTATGAAAGTTTTGACTCCGCCCTCGAGTGCCATCTATTGGTTGTATCTATGTCAACATAAAGGATGCATGGAAGTGTAAGGGTACACTGTTTAAAATTGACAAATCTATTCTCGTATTTAAAGGGAATATAAATTAGCCTTCACACCTTTTATACAATTTAAGAGCTAAAACCACTAGTATAACAGGTCCATTACATTTTCATACTACTGACTGATACACTTTGATCATATTTTTAATGCTTCATCAAAATTCTTTGAGTTTTTACAATTGTCAGCACACAGTCAGTCAAGTGGCTGGCCCGGGTTACAGTTCCCCTCCCAAGCATCGTCCAACTCATCCTCACAGGGTTCAGGCACATAGTAGCTCCGTGAATTCTCATACAAGAAGATCTGCTGATCGACTAAAGCCGGAGCTATGCGGTTCCTTTTCCCGCACAGAACAGCCCCGGAGGAGCTTAACAGCCTGTGACAAGGTACACTTGTGGCAGGGACACACCAGTACTTCTGAAGCACCTTGGGGAGGGTGGGGAACAAAGGTGCATGACTAGACCACCACAGTAAAGGGTCTTCATTCAGACCTAGGACTCTTTGTGATTTGTAGTTGCTCAGCTCCTCGACCACCTGTGCATGCAGCTCTTCCTGGCTCTGGTCTGCGTCTGACTGACAAAATATGGCAGCCAAAGGGTTGTCTTGGGTTGCACTGCTGGCTGAAGACTCTCTCGCAGGTGTCTGCTTTTTGCTCGGTGGCTCGTCAGATACAAAGGAGAAATCATCTAGGCATGGTCGCTCTGCAATCTGCTTCTCAAGGATTGCTTTTGCCTCCTCTATGATGTTATTCTCAACTTTGGAACGCTCCTGAGTGGACAGAAAAGGCAGCTTCTTGTACCGAGGATCCAAGAATGTAGCTATGTTGAGGAACGCTGAAATGTCTTGCGATAGCTGAGTATTCTGTGAATAGGTGCTTGAGAGGACTTTTGAGATGACCTCTTTGGTCATGCTAATCTCTTTGAGGTCCCCTTCCTTGACCTTGAGTGTGGTGTTCAACAGCATATGAAGCACAGGCCTGACCATGCTAATGGTTGGGTACTTGCAAGAACTGATCATGTTTGCCACAACTTTAAAAGGCTGGAGGACATCAATCAAGCCCTCCAACAAGGCCCAGTCAGGGCCATCAAAGTTGAAATGATGACTGCTGGAGCTCTCTATAAGTGTTGCAGTTACTGCAACCTGTTGCTCTTTCAGTCTCTGTAACATTGCCAACGTGGCCAACCAAGACCGACCCCTGTCCGTGATGAGTGCACACTGAGTGAGGCCACTCTGCTTCTGTTTTTCCCTCAGCAGATACAGCGTTGGTTCTTTGAAATGATCAACAAGTTTGCGGCAACATCCCAAAAAGCTGTCGACCCGTGGCAGCTGGAAGGCTTCATCCATCGCACGATTTATTGTATGTCCAAGGCAAGGCATTTCCACTGACAGGTCGAGGAGGGAGCACGCTTTGACAATGTCCACTGAACCATTTGTGGTGGCACCACTGACTTTATGAGTTATCCCCCATTCAACGAATGCTTCATACATAGCTCTGGTGATGTTCTCGGCTGTGTTGTCCTCTTGTACCTCAAACGTTTTTAGACACTTGTTGGTCAGAGTGAAGCCAGTTGTGCTATTGTAATTAACCGAATGCATAGAGAGTGAAATGTATGTCCTACTCTGGGTTTGGCTTTGCCAAAGATCTGTAGTAACGCCACAGTTCACAACCCCAGCAAGCTCACTAAAGACCATGTCCCTGGCGCGGCAGTACATCTGAGGAAGCATTTTAACTGCCAGGTCACTTTTGCTCGGTGGAGAGTACCCAGGATCGACGGTACTCATTAAGGTCTTGAAAGTCGGCTCTTCAACTAGAGATACAGGGTACAACCCCTCACAGATAAAGTTGATGACAGCTATTGTCAGATCATTGTGTCGTCTGTTTTCGTAGTCTAAACTCTGCCTTAGGTTTGTGTCCTGGGATTGTTGCTGAATGTGTACACTTGACGGCTCAGTCTTTATCCTGGAGAACGCCGTGGCGAACGCCTCGCGCATCTGATCCGTGTTGCTCTTCACAAACTCACTGAATTCGACAGGGTGGTTCTTCTCGAGGTGGTACGAAAGATTGGAGGTGTTTCCAGAGTAAGCAATTTGACTCATGCATACACGACAGTAAATCCGCTTCCAGTGCAATATACAGCCGTCTGCTTCTGTGTCAAAGCCAAAGTATTTCCAGACTTTGCTTTTTGCCCGTGGGTGTGCGACCAGATTGAGGCCAGAGCACGAAGGTCCTGAACTTTTACCCTCCATTGGTTCGTCTGGTAAGCAATCCACTTGGATGCCTTCACTTAACGAGCACCTAACAAGAATAGTGAAACACACATTTGAGGATGTTGATTAAAACATTACAGACATTTGTGAAGCGACACTGAGATGTGATTTTGAAATCCTTCAGCTACATGCACACAAGAAAGTAGATCACAGTGAAAAATCTTGTCAAGGCAGGAGAGAAAAGATAAAACTAAGCCTTTTAAGTTGGTGAGAACAGCTCGACAACAAGTTACCTTAAGTTTGTCGCAGGATTTTCATTGAACTGTGAGAGGAGGAAAATGTTGCTGCTCTGACCTGTGTGAGCTGAAAGGTCTCTCACACCTCTGATCAAACCCGCAGGTGTGGTCCGCTGTACCTGTGACCACACTCAGCTGATGCACTATAGCGCCACACTACATCAGCTGCACTGGGTGTGGAACATGAATTTTATCAAGGTTGGTTGGCAATAAAAGTACGATTATTAGAGTGGGTGCAGCCAAATAGTCTTGTTGGATCTGACAGCTACTTCCTGTCTCAACTCTGACCCGTTCTACTTAGTTGTGCAGTCAGAGTGGTGCAATGCACTGGAGGAACATGGAATTTTTCAATGTTGAAGACATGGTTTCAAAACTGGAATTTCTGCTTTATAATCAGGAGCGAGTCAGGCTTTATCTTTGGTCATGGTGTGGGATATGCCAATTAAATTACAGGAATTTCCCAAATCCCTTTTAAAGCCTGTTAAACAACCTGCATTCTCTGTGAGATTAGTAGTGTATAAACCTCTAGGGTCTGAACCCATTTCACTCTCTGGAGACACAATCGTCTTTTTGTCTTGAGGTGGAACACATTCGTGATATCTCACTCTTCTATCACATGATACTACGCACACATTTTCCTTTGGTTTTATGGCAATCAACTAAATGCTCTAAATAGTAACACTGAAATCAGTAGCACTCTGATGTTTTAAACAGCACGGTGGGAAATTGGAGAGATGTACTCTCACAAAACCAGTGCGGTTTAGCAGTATTTTGATGTAGAAAATGAATTCAGCTGCAGTTTATCTTTTTTCATACTGCACAGAGCAAAGTGTCTCGTACTTCAGTGGCGTTTAAAATCTGACATGGTTGTTGAAGACTGTGATTAAAGGCTTCGAAGGGCTCTTAATGCACATAATATTTTTTGGGACAATGTTTCAAATATTAACAATAATTTGTGCTCAATTTTGACTGTTTTCTAGTCGACTAGTCGTTATTGATATTTTCGTTAAGTCGACTGGGAAATTAGTCGCCAGGAACATCCCTAATGGAAACGCAAAATGTTCTAATGTGTGGCGAACAGAGCAGAACTGAACCAGACTGCTTGGTGGAAACGAGGCTTTTGAGGCAGCTGTTCCACGTGATTTTTGCTTTCATTCATAAAATAATTTGAACTCAAGGTCCGCAGATGACGTCTAAAGACATCTCATGGTCCTGAGCAGATGGCTTCAACATCAGCTATGTCAATATCATAAAATATTATGGTCGGGGGGAAAAAATGGATACAGCATAGTATCCTGATGTTTTTGTGTGTGAACTTTTGCTAGCCTACTACAATAATATCATCAAGTGATTTTCAGTCCACTTCATTTCATTTCTATGGGGACATAATTTGCAGTTGGAAAAAGGTAATGAATCACAATTTGTTTTATTGCAAAACTCAACATATTGCAGCTAAATTCACTACATGTAACTCGTAACTCTCTAGTACTGTTGTCATAAATTTAAGGGATTTTCACAACAAAAAACATCACTCTAGCAGGTAGATACATATTAAACCACCTTGCATTTGACTAGGTGACCCACACTACTCCAGATTAATTTTCATACAATTTTACTGAAGAGTTTATGAGGAATTTAAAGGTATAGTCTGCTCGAAATACAACAAAATGTAATCAGTTGCCTAATATTAAATATTACTTAAAGAAACCTTCATAGGCTACATAAATCTTTCAATGTATTCTTGTTGTAGGTGACGCCCACAATGATCATATCAAATTTTCATACAGTTTTACTGAAGAGTTTGAGGAATTTAAAAAGTAAAGTCTGCTCAAATTACCGTATAGTATAATCAGAATTTCCCCATATTCAATATTAATTCTATGCGTGTGTATTACTGTCAATAAAAATACCAATTAATTTAGAGCTCCTTTAAAATAAGAGTACAGTAGGCATATCAATGGGAGAAACAGGGGAGAAAGCGTTGCTGAGAAACGGGCGACTCCATCACTTTTGGCCGTTTTCACCATCCGTACCGTAATACTACGAATACACACGCACTCTGCTTGACCGCAGTAAAAGGAGTGAGCCTCTCTAAACTTGACGTGCTCTGTGTATCAGACCAACGCCGAACTGATGACAAGACCCTGCTGTTAAACCGTCTTCAGTCAGAATCCATTTAGTGTTTTGATTAGTCGATGAATAAGATCAGAGTTTTAAAAACTGTCACATTTCTGACGGAGTTCGGCACACAAGCGGGGGAATGATACACCGGGTTTTAACGACTAAAGACAAACACAGGAAATAAATGCAGGAAATAAAAGTGGACCTGACCTGGCAGCGCAAACGACCTGTTGAACATCTGATAGATCAGAACTTTAATTCCGCACAGATACAGCCTGAGGAGAGGCACCAACACTGACAGCAGCCACATCCCTCTGGTTCTGGTGTCCCACCGAACAGTTTCCGACACTTACTGTCCCGCACGGTAATGAGTCCGGGCCGGCAGGGAGCCAGTGTGGGACTTATCTATCCGTTCCGCCCCCACGAAGAATTGCGTCACAAGATGCGTGCAGATTAACTCTCTTTTTTTTAGGCTTTTCACTTTATCCTGCTACACTTTCTGAATGCATGGTATTGTACTGTGGGCTGAAAAAATGACTGAAAGAAAGAAAGAAAGGACACAGATGAATAAGAGTCTTGTTTTTTTGTGTCACTGACTGATTTTTGGCAGCGTATGAATCAAAGTCCGCTTATTGATAATGTTTCATGGTTAAAGATTGGGATCGTCTTATTCACTCGGGGTGTGTTTGACATTTGGGACCATATCTATTAATGACAAGATTGCAATGTCACAGCCACTAATTGAAGTGTGATCCAATATGTCCGCAGGCGCAGTTTGAAAACTATTAGAACTAGAACTGTCACATGGTTGTGTACTTCTGCCAGCAGCGAGCAATGGCCCCTTCCCTTCTTCCTACCCCCCTACTTCCAAACCAAAGTCGGCCCTCATTGTGATTGTTAAGTGTCATGACTACATTGTGCACGGTTGCGACGTTGCACTACATTGAGACTCTGTAATCACTTCATCATTTCATCCTATAAGACATTTGTGTGAAATTTTTTCATGAATAGCACATGAATTCTTGAGTTATGGCCAAAAACATGTTTTGAGAAGTCACAGTGAACTTTGACCTTTGACCACCAAAATCGAATAACTTCATCCTTGTGTCCGAGTGGACGTTTGTGCCAAAATTTAGGGAACTCCGTCAAGGCTGAGATATTGTGTTTACAAAAATGAGGCAGACAGATGGAAGGACGTACAAACAGTTGGACAGAAGTGCCTCTGGACTCTCAACAATCACTTGGACTCAATGATGAACTGATTAGATTTTGGTGGTTAAAGGTCAAGGTCACTGTGACCATGTCCGTCTCATTTTTGTAAATGGGTTATCTCAAGAACAGCTCCAGGGAATTTCCTCAATTTTGGCACAGACAATCACCTAGACTTGACAATGAACTAATAGGATTACGGTGGTCAAAGGTCAAGGTCACTGTGACCATGTCTGTCTCATTTTTGTAAATGGGTTATCTCAAGTACAGCTCCAGGGTATTTCCTCAATTTTGGCACAAACAATCACTTGGACTCAATGATGAACTGATTAGATTTTGGTGGTTAAAGGTCAAGGTCACTGTGACCATGTCCGTCTCATTTTTGTAAATGGGCTATCTCAAGAACAGCTTGAGGAATCCTCCTCAGTTTTGGCACAAACAATCACCTGGACTTGACAATGAACTGACTGGATTTCGGCGGTCAAAGGTCAAGGTCACTGTGACCATGTCTGTCTCATTTTTGTAAATGGGGTATCTCAAGAACAGCTCGAGGAAACTTCCTCAGTTTTGGCACAAACAATCATCTGGACTTGACAACGAACTGATTGGATTTCGGTGGTCAAAGGTCAAGGTCACTGTGACCATGTCTGTCTCATTTTTGTAAATGGGTTATCTCAAGGACAGCTCAAGGGAATTTACTCAATTTTGGCACAAACAATCACTTGGATACAACAAGGAACTAATTGGATTTTGGTGGTCAATGGTCAAGGTCACCATGACCTTGCATTTGTCTCATTTTCGTGACTATGATATTTCAGAACACCTTAAAGGAATTTCTTTAAATAAAATAAATTGACTAGAATTTTGTGGTTGAAGGTTAAAGGTCAAGGTCAGTGTGGCCTCACAAAATACAGTTTTTGGCCATACCATGAGAAACTAATATGCTAATTATGACAAACCCTCACACAAATGTCTAATAGGATGATATAATGAAGTGATGACATTTTATGTCCAAGAGGTAAAAGGTCAACTTCACTGTGAAGGTTTCAACAATGGTCAACTCAAGAAAAGTCTAGATTAACAACCAAGACCAACAGGGGCCACAAAGGCCCCAGGCTGTCTGTGAGCCAGTGAGCTTGTGGTGATTTAATTACACAAATACAGTGAGTCTAAACAATATCCCCATCTCACCATGTGACGGTGTTTCTCTATAAGCATGTGGAGCTAGACAGGGCTCCCTGTGAAAGGGTGGGTTTGTGATGAGTTACATCACAGGTTTAATACTTGGGTGAACTCAGAAATGTTGCAATTCTGAGGCGTTAACCCCGACATCTGATGTGATCAGCCTCAGACAACAACAGTATCTGAGTATCAAGACCAAACCCTGAGGGGACTGAAGGGTGCTCACATCCAAATACCTAGATGATATTTTGGTTACATTAAAATCTACTTATATATATGCTCCATTAGATTAGAGTAAATGTCACTCACCATTGACTTTGGGGGCACCAGACAGGTCATATCCTGATAGACATCCAATTGTTACTGATGGTGTATACCATAGAGAAGTCAGACACAACCCCAGGGAGGCTCCTTGTTCTGTTAATGGAACATACCAAGTCATCACTGAGGGAAAGGAGTCAACCACTAATTGCTCTGTTATGTTTCACTAATCTGTTTTTGTCAGGTTCATTAACAACATTTTTCACAATATACCTTTTGTAACGGCTGTGTCAGACTGCCGCACCCAGTGTGTTCTTTAAAAGGTAGGAGCCAGGGCTGGAGCGGCTCACCTGACTCCTCTGCCGTGCTGCGACTGGTTTCTATTTGGTGCTGTGAGGAAAGCTGCAGACACAATGAAGTTTGGTTTGAGCGTCGCCTTCCTTCTACTTGTTTTCACTGGAACGGTGACTGTAAAAGGTAAGACCAGGTTTCATCCTTACAATGGGATTGGTTGTCACGTGATCTTAATTTGTAGTTTGATGTTTATTATTTTAAAAAATCCTATTGGTATGCTTGTTGAAATTTTAAGGATAAGGCGGAAGTTTGGAGGTAGTCCGTTTCTCAATACTTTCCGACTTCTCTAGTCTGTCTTTCCTCTTTTCTACCAACATGGAACAGGTTCTGTTCCGGGTTTATATGACCTGCATGTTTTCCTGCAGCTCCAGCTGTTGTTACCAATGATAACCTGATGTTCATTTGAAATGTCTTTTAGGATTTGACCTGTCTGGTGATCCGAAAGTCAACGGTGAGTGACATTTACTCTGATGAAATACTACATGAGCACCCTTCAGCCCTATGGGGCGAACAAAACTCCAACACTGACCCAAAATAACCACATAAACTCCTTTAAAACACTGAAATCCATCTATGGGATTTATTTCAGTAAAACAAGCAAACAAGACAACAAAAATCCCATGCTGAGAGGCAGCAGGACCAGCAGTCCTCACACCAGAGGCCTCTCTGTAGATGTCCACTATGGTGTGCCTCAGGGGTCAGTGCTAGGTCCTATTCTCTTTTCAATTTACATGCTCCCTCTTAGCCAGTCACACCCTGAGATCCTCAGATGCATCTTTTCTTGTTCCGAGGTCTCGATTAAGTCACAAATGTGACATAGTTTTCGCAGTCAGAGCTCCACGACTTTGGAGTGACCTGCCTGAGGAGATCAGGGCCACAAACTCAGAGAAACAAAATGTCTCGGAGTTGGTATTTACTGTTTTTGTTTCATAGATGCACTTGATGTTTCTGTGCTCACAGGACCCGATCATGACGAAGCTGTTCTCGGAGCCAGGCGTGTGGTTCGTGGTGAGTTAGTAAGTTATTCTATGTCCGAGCAAAAACTTGGCAAGCAACAAACCAAAGTTACTGACTACTATTTCTACGCCATGTTAAATACTTGTTCTACTCTATATAAGACACATTTTTTCCCAGACCAACATCAGGTGTGAGGAGGTGTTTACAGACACACACACCCTGATTTTCCCAATAACCACAAATCACCAAATATCTCCCACTGGTGTTTCACAACATCCTGAAACCTAATGCTGTCGTAACTGAGGCAGGAGGTGGATCCCTTAAATGGTTGTTAACCTTGTGTTTCGTAATGAGTATTCACGTCTGTCTCTAACAGGACTGACCTTATTTGATCTTCTCACTGGCAAAGGTGAGTCGCCTTATTTATAACTTCTTGTTATGTTGCTGCATCGGCTATCATGGTATGGAAATCAGTTAGAGGCAAGTCCGCAAGTCCTTGTATTTATGCCTCTCTAACTTACAGGAGCCTCACCACAACCCAACCCTGCTAAACCCCCTGCAGGATGTGAGTCTACAAACTAATACACACTAATACAAACAGTATTAATTTAATTAAGATTTTTCTTTCTTTTTCTTCATTTTGGACAACTTGATTCTGCATTTTTTTTTTTCAGATGGGGTTAATCCATCAGATGTTCCTCGTCCAGGTAATGACGCTGACGGTTTCTTTGGACGAACAGGGACTTGATACAGCTGACAGCAGTAGTCTACACTAATACTGTTTACGATTAAAGCTGCATTAATTGAGTTTTTGGCCACTTGGGGGCAGCAGAGCAAGCTGTAAACACAGCACTGACATGTCATCACCCAGCTCGCTTCTCTTTGACCAAGGACAAGAAAAATCTATCCTTGCGCCCACGTTATGTAGTATATATAGTATGTTTCCAAATCAGAAACCCTTCCGGTTAATTAAAGTCCGCCCATATGTTGCAGTTTGAATGAACACTGTTATACTGATATACTTCTCCTGTTGATCCATAGATCCCAAACTTTCCAAGCCTGTTCAAGGAAGTGAGTACACAAAACGTCCACTTACTCTTGACATACAGATAGGTGACAAATTAAAGTAAAAAACATAAGGTGGGATTTTGAAAACTTGCTAACATTTGTCGTTCTTTATTTGTAGATGATGCTGTTTTTAATCTGGCGGATGCCCTCCATCCAGGTAAGGTTATCAGTTTAAGGATGAAGGATTTATTTTCTGTTGAATCTGATATTGTACAGTAGATGTAAGTCGGCACACCCCCACTTTGGAGAAGCAGGCTGGAGTACAGACACAGACACAAAGCAATGTACTGCTATGGAGGGGTCAGCAACAAAATGTGTTTTAACCTCCTAAA